ATTATTAAAAAATAGAACAAGAGTTTTAACCGTGTAATGCAAAGCTTTGTTGACAATAACATTTCTGTGCATGATCAATGATGCATTTCAAAGACTATTTCATGTAGTATAGATTATGAATGTTTGCTGGTTCATGTTGGTTCAGTGATAACCTATTAACAAAAGAATTGAATTAGAATCTATATAGAATGAATAAAGAAGTGGTTCTCATTTAACCACTGCTTTGATGGTTTGCAGGAGATTTATCCCCCTAATTGCCAAACAATTAGACACATGTTCAAATCAGATGTAACTACTTTTTTTCCGCAACACATTTATAGCAATTGTATTTGTGTTTTATGTAAAAATGTGCATGAAAAAATGATCTATTCTGGTCACATTTCACTTTTATTTAATAAGTAATCTAACTGCAGTTTCAGAGCTGATGTCTGTGAGATGGTGCCAATGTTAGTACTGACCTCAGCCAGGCTACATGCTCCACAGCAACAGCTTGACAAATATACGGTCTAATTTCAATGAAGTCGATAGCCGCAATAATTAACTTTATGACTTGGGTAATTATTGATTGAGTTCAGGATCCAAAGAAGGTGCTTTGTCTGATCCTTTCTTTGGCAGATCTGCCTACAGTTCGCTGTATAAATAGAGGAATTAAGCGATGCTCTTGTTGTTACGAGTTTACCAGCTTACACTGTAATTTATTTAAGAGCTCTTAATTGGACTAGTTACTCATTTGGCCCTCACTGGTCCCACAGCAGAATGGAGCTCGATCACAGCACGCTGGGGCATGCTGGAATATGGAGCTACAGAGACATACTGTACACAGCCAGCTGTTTGATGTCTGCAGCATGCAGGCGTATGCTGCACCACACAGCATAAATAAACACAGAAATCCCCCAGTGAGAGGACAGATCGACACACAGGAGACCTTATTTCAGGGTAATCAACTATTAATGTTGATTTGAAATTCATTTTTTTCCCCCTGTGCTGTGCAGTTATTCCTGGCTAAAAAGGGGTTTCAAGCAGGAGGGGTAAAAACCTTAAAGCAAAACGCAGGGACAGACTAATTTGGATGAAACTGAACACCATATTTTTGGTATCGCCACCTCTTCATGCACACTCGCTTGCATGCTACCCACAAACAGCTGGACTCGCATCTCAGAGGGCGAAATGGGTTGCTAAGGATCCCTATTAAATGAGGCCGTATAAAATGTATGTCAGTGGGTTCTGCCTGGCTTAGCACTCTCCACAATAAGTGCTAATGGAATAACTATAAGATGTATAAATGATCCCTACTTTAATTCATAATAAAGCTGGACCTCATTGCCTGCCCATTCAGCCCAATAGATTATGGAAATAGCTCTAATGACTATTGAAACAATGAGCTGAAAGGCATTATCATTCAGGGACACGTCAGCTTTGGAATAGCTGGCACTGTGCTTTTTGCCCTTTCACTCAAGTTTTGAAATACCAACGCCCTGCATTCAATAGGAGGGAAAATGAAAAATGAATCCCAAGCTGCATAGGACATTATTACACACTCTAATGTGGTAACAATTATCCGCCTCAAAAGATGCAAAGGCTTTTGTTCAGGTGGAATAAAAACTAACATTTCTTATTGTGTATAGTCATCTTCCTCTCAAGAATAGACAGAAATAAGCTTTGAAAGTTTAAATTTTTAGTTCAGCGAAAGATGCAGAGACGATTAAAAGTTAGCGTTTAGCTTGAGATCTTTGGTTAAAAGGTTTATTCACCAACGCAGTGTGTCAGAAAATAATAAATGAATAAAATAGAACAAAATATCTTAAAAACATATGGGTATGTAAATCCCTTAATCATTTGATCTTGAATCACTCATATGCATCCCATTTGGTAAATATCCACACATTTTAGAGGAAAAGTACCTAGTATGAGGCTTTTTTCATGTAACAATTTAGTTGAATTAATGCAGATAACTTATGTTTAAGCTCACATGGATGCAAGTCTTTGATTTGTAGAAAAATATTCATGTTAGTTTAAATGGAGAATTAATTCCAGGGTTGCATGTCTACTGGTGCAGTACCACCCTCTAGTGGTGCACAAGAAGAAATGATAATTATGAGTTCAAACAGAGCAGTATCAGTGCATGCAGCGTTAATTCAGTAGTTTAGAAAATTTTTAAAATAATTAAAAGGTTAGTGAAGTTCTAAAACTTTAGAGGGAAAAATATGTGGAGTGATTGCACAGAAATTTAATGTGATTTTTTTTCCCCCAGCAGTGGAAACACTGAACAGGTTCTACAGCCTCTGCAAGGTGCATTGGGGATCATGGGAGTTTGCCCAACCAGTCCACTCGTTTATCCCTCATGGTGCCCTGTGGGTGGCGCCCCAACAGTACGGAGTTGGGGGCCTTTTTATTATGGATCCATAGAGTCCAAGTACAAGAGGAGCAAGAGTCTGGTCCACATTAACAGCAATAGGATTGACCTATTCTGCACTCTATTGATAACCAGGATTTATAGCACAGCCATGAGCTGTAGGGGGTTTGATGTTAGAGACCAGTCGTCCCTGTTTTTTGTGGATGACCTGGTTCTACTGGCGTCCTCTACGGTACGAGTACCACAGGGGACGATACACCTCTGACATCCAGTACAGGACAACCCTGTCATTTCCAGAAATACTCAGCATACTCTGCAGTTGCTGGGTGCATCAGAGATGGACAAGAAGTTAAAAACAGGGAGCTGGTTAATCTTTATGGTACATGGTGGGAATATAATCATTTACAAAACAAGAAAATTATTTAAGATTGCAAGAGAAACAGGGGCACTTTGAATCCTAGTAACATGATAAAAGTGGTGGCAGAGTATAGATACCACAATGTTAGTCTGAACAACAGAGCCTACCGGATATGCTCCATATCTTCTATCAGCCTGTAGTGGAGAGAGTGATCTCTTCTTCACTATGACATCAGAGCAAACAGCTAAAGAAAGGCTCATCAAGCTGATATAGAAGGCCGGTTCTGTTCTAGGAACTCCTCTAAAAGTGGATATCTCAGAGAACTCATGAAACGGGCTATATGCCCAACTCCACTACGTCCTAAACCTCAGCTATCTGCCCTTCATCCCTTGATAAACTGATTAATCCAGGTGTGACCTCAGTAACAATGACGAGTTTAGGCAGAAACACCTTGATTAATCAGTTTGCAACCCCCTTATTAGACTGTTAAAAAACATAGGCTACGTTCACACTGAAGGCCTTAATGCTCAATTCTAATTTTTTTGCGTTGCCATTCACATTTCCAAATATATGCAACCTGTATGTGATCTCATGTGTGAACTGCATTCATACCACGCATGTGCATCGCAGTAGAGGATGCAATGACGTCACAACCAAGCGTGCTCCGTGTTTACGGAAGTCAAAATGGAAGGTAGTGCTGGAGCTCATCAAGCAGTCTTTCCCAACCTTAAAAACTCAATCTTTTCAAGATGGTAAAAAAAATAAAGAAAAAATACTGCTCTCTGCATCATCATCCGCCATGGTTTTACTTCCTGCTTCTGCGTAGCAAGGCGCAGAATAGTGGCCTTTGTTGAGCATTAATGACGTTCTGGTTGGATGAATGCGACCTCGCCATTCAGACACAGGACACATTTGAAAAGATCAGATTCGTATCAGATTCAGGACCACACAGCCAAGTGGCCTGGGTCACATTGGAAAAAATTTGAACGGTGTTGTTCAGATTGCCTTGAAAAGATCATTCAGGTCACATATGAGCCAAAAAAAAAAATCGGATTTGGGTCACTTCAGGCTGCAGTGTGAACGTAGCCTAAGTGTCTTCAGTCAGAGGCTTCTCCAGATCTGGAGCAAGCAGACCGCTACAGGAGATCCTTAAAGCTTTACACTGCCAAGCTGCTCATTCAATCTTGGAACGCTGTATGCATCGAAATTCCGTTTTGTATACACTGTGTATATAAAATGACAATAAAGTTTGTCTAAGTATAGCTATTAACATCTATTTGCTGGTGGGGGGAAGCCTTGGCTATATTGATTGTCAATTTGGGATTAATAAAGTATTTTTCAATTGAGCCGACATAAACTATGAATCTGTATTTTTTAAAACACCTGATATTTTATCTTAATTTGCGCAACAAAGACATGTTCTACTTTTGTGTACCCGATACTACCTATTAGCTACAAGTGTTTAAAATTCTTAAACAGCAAAAAAAAAGCTAACATCCCACAGCCTTTTATAAGTAAATGATTTTTGAAGTGGATAGAACATGAGACAACAGGTGAATAAAAAAACTAATGGTAAGGAGTGCAGGTATATAAAGAAACTTCCAAGTTCTACCAAAAAAATCATGTACACATCTGCATACTTCATTCTTCCCATTAACATCCCACTTGGAGTATTCCCTCGAAGAGGAGCCCCCCCTTCTCCACCACCCCTCCTATTAGCCAGTGGAGAAGAATTTGCCACCAGCACAAGATCTCCTGCCAAGAAGTTTCTTCTTGGATTCATCAACTATCTTTGACTATTGAAACCTTATCTCTTGCAAACACCCTGCAACCCAGATAAGTGGATTAAACGGATTACATCCAACACTACAAATAACAGAAACTCACCTGATAAAACTCTTATCTTACATAAAACTTAAATAAGTCTTGGGTTGCTCTCAAAGGAACACCAAGAACAAATAAGTGCTGTGTGCTGAAAAAAAATTAGGTGTATCTCAGTGTATTTAGTATAGCATATTCAACCAGAGGTAGACTTAATGTTCTGAAAATAACGTACATCGTCAATAAATCAAAGCGAAAAGAAGAACTAACAGGATATGAAGGGATTTAGTTTGAGGTCTCTGGTAAAACAATTACCTACAGGTGTCAGAAAAGAATAAATCCAGAAAAAAAAATTAAAAATCTCTTCACACACCGTTACAAAGTCAGGGTATGAAAACCTATCAATATACTTCAATTAGGTATATGCATCACAACATTTTAGTGACAAAGAAAGAATCATAAGGCATGTTTTCCAGTTAGAAAATCTTTTTTCTTTAACATAACACTTGTTAAATAAATGCAAACGCCTGTCATGTCAGACAGAGCAGGTTTCACTTCAAGCTCACATTGAAGCATCTTTGGTTTGCAGAAGTTGGGGTTGCATGTCTCTACTGGAGCAGCAGCACCCTCTAGTGGTGTTCAAAACAAAACGTGACGTCATAATTTGTGCATATAGCATTAATAAAGTGACTTGGAAATCAAAATCATGATTCTGCAGAAAAAGAAAAAAAAAGACAGTGTTTTTGTTTTTTTTTAAAAAGAAATAAAGTATAACCTTGACCACAGGAAAACTAATTATTTGGCATGTCTTCACAACAACAATCAGACATTTAGTAAATAGTTACTGAACATCTGGTAAAATGAAGAGAAAAAAAACACATCTTCCATTTGCCTTAAATGGCTGATTAGTTATGAAAGACTTCAATGTTTACAAATTAAAGATAATAATGATCGGATGAGTAACACAAATTAGTTAAATATTAAAAGGCTAAAGGGTTAGTAAAGTTCAGATACTGTTTAAGTAAAAAATATATATTTATATATGAAAAGGAATAAATCACTCAAAATCCTTTTATGATTGCACAGTAATTTCCCATCATGATTAGAGATTAGTATACGCTATTGTTGCAGTCAGTAACATCCAAACCCGTCTAAATCTTCTGGCCTCAGGCTTTACTTCAGCTGTGGTGAAGCAAAGAAGTTTCCTTGGCGGTTAGCCGCCGATGTTGCTTTGCTCTTGCTCCCAAATCTAAGAAATCAAAAATGAGTTAAAAGGAGGCAGATGACATTTGCAGTTAACTAGTAAGAATAAATAATGTAGTCATGTACTAAAAAACTGCATTACTTCTGATAAATGTTAACAGTTTTTGTTTGATACAAACAGGGAAATATGTTGTTTTTTATTATTGTAAGGGATTCAGGAATTATGTGAAATTAATATAAGATAAGAAGATAATTATGAATCTGATGCCTTCATTTGCATTCAGCACTCTAGTTTAATATTACTTAAACTAGAATGCAAATAATTGAACCTTTTAGTCTGGGTATAAAACAACTGTGAGATGGTTAACTATGCATCTCAACCTCAACACACTTTTCACACCAGACCCACATGTGAAACCTTTACAGACAGCAATAAATAAAAAAAAGAAAAAGAAAACTGACATAAAACAGAGTTTAAGGTAAGAGCATATTTATTTGTCAGATAGGCCCAGTTTAAAGTCTAGGCCTCAGGCTTTTTAACCACTCATGATGTGGTTAAAAAGTGTTTTTGCAAATACTAACTTCCAATTGTTTTTTGCTTGAGTCTTTTTATAAAGAAAAATAGGCTAAATGTTTACTTCTAGGAGGAAGGTGGTTAAAGAGTCAAAAAGTTTAAAGAGAACAAATTCTGCTAAAAGCAATGTAGATATAACCTCTCTTACATGGTGGTGCTGGTGAGGGTCTGCATCACCCGTTGAGACAGTGAGCTGGAGGAGGGTGTTTTGGATATCACCTGGTGTTCTGGAGTCGTTACTGGTCCCAGCATGCTCACTAGAAATTAGAAGGAAAGAGGAAGAACCGAAGTCATTCTTCGGTGGGTTGGTTTGCATGCTAGGGGTGAAAACGAAAACATAAAAAGCTTAGTTTATGTATTTATAGTTGCTCCATGTTGTCTTAAAATTGGATTTTCTTACATTGGGCTCCCAAACGTTGAAAATCTCTTTTTCCTCCCCTAAACCACACTTTCTTCAGCATATGAGCTTGTTTTTTTTACCTCAGTTTTATTTTATATCCATCATTAATACTATTTTCATTCAGCACTTTGAGTAAACCTGCTGCTTTTTCATACTCGCATGGATGTTTGACTCAACCCAACATTATGACTTCAAAAGGAAAGGAACTAAAGTGAAAAGTAAAAAAACTAAAATAACAGCCCATTTGTAATTTAAGCACACATTACTACATTGCGGAAAATAAGTAATTCAACACCAAGATCTCCCACTTAGAAATCATGGAGGGTTCTGAAATTGTCATATAGGTGCATGTCCACTGTTCAGCTTCACTCCATTTATTACCCTAAATTAGATGCACCTGTTTGAGGTTGTTAGCTGCATTAAGACACCTGTCCACCCTATAAAATCAGTAAGAATCCAACTACTAACATGGCCAAGACCAAACAGCTGTTCAAAGACACTGGAGACAAAATTGTAAACCACCACAAGGCTGGAAAGGGCTACAGAGAAATTGCCAAGCAGCTTGGTGAAAAAAGGTCAACAGTTGGAACATTCATAAGAAAATGGACTATACTAAGCATGACTGTCAATCTCCCTCAGACCAGGGCTCCATGCAAGACCTCACCTCAATGATCCAAGGAAAGGTGAGAAATCAGTAAAGAATGACACGGGGGGAGCTGGGAAACGTTTTGGTCATAATTCCACAAACCGTGTTTGGAGGAAGAAGAATGATGAGTACCATCCCAAGAACACCACCCCTACTGTTTAGCATGGGGGTGGTAGCATCATGCTTTGGGCTTGTTTTCCTGAAAATGGGACAGAGCGACTGCACTGTATTAAGGAGAAGATGACCGGGGCCACGTATTATGAGATTCTGGGGAACAAACTCCTTTCCTTAGAGCAGTGAAGATGGGTCAAAGCTGAGTCTTCCAACATGACAATGACTGAAACACACAGGCAGGATAACCAAGGAGTGGCTCTTTAAGAAGTATATCCAGGTTCCAGACCTAAACCAAATAGAGAATCTTTGGAGGGAGCTTAAACTCTGTGTTTCTCAGCGACAGCCCAGAAACCTGACTGATCTAGAGAAGATCTATGTAGAGGAGTGGGCCAAAATCCCTCCTGCAGTGTGTGCAAACCAGGCGAAAAACTGCAGGAAATTTTAACCTCTGTCTTTGCAAACAAAGCCTACTATACCAAATATTAACATTAATTTTCTCAGCTGTTCAAAAACTTATTTTTAGCTTTATACAAATAAACAGTTTTTTTAATCATATTGTGATTTCTATGATGACAATTTCACCACCTCCATTATTTCTAAGTGGGAGAACTTGCAAAAAAGCAGGATGTTCAAATATTTATTTTCCTCACTGTATAGATTATTTCACCGTATTTGCTGTAGATAGTGATACAAATCCAATGGAAACACTTCACAGAGCAAAGCCTCTTTAGAAAAAGCTGCTATATGCACTTGACAGTGGAGCATAGAGGAGCCCCACAGAACTCCATGGAAATAGATCAGTGTCAGTAAGTAGGAATATAATATGATCCATCCAGAACATCAGAAATTAATAATAAAAAATAAAAAAAATCTCACAGCTTTATCTCAAAGACCGTCCAATTACTTTGGGGGTTCCAATTTGTCTCATTGATGTACAAGGGCCCACCTTTTTGGTTCGGAGTGTCTGTGTGCTGAGCAGTCTCCATGTCTACATTATCAGGATGAGCAAACCGGCTCCAGTAGCTCCCAGGAATACTCAACAGGCGCTCTACAATCTGTGGAAACAGAAACCTCATTTATTCAACACAAAACCCTTCTGCTGATCACGTCGGTTAAGGAAACTGATCCTAAAACTGAACCCTTTTAAACTAAAGAACCATTGTCTGAGCTTTTGTTGTTGTTCATTTTAATTTACCCTTGGCTGTCTACTGGTATCATGCAGGATGGTCATGGGGTCTGGGTCAGGGACAGCGTGACCCACCAGGGTTGGACCAAAAACTCTGGCCAGGTTGTTTAAATCCATCTTAGTGTCCACGCTTTGAGACACTCTAGAAATTAAAAACAGACACGCTTTCTGGTGAATTTACTGCTCACACAAATCTAAGTGATGGATAACAGACCAAATAAGGAGATGAGAGTTACTTCTGCAGGTGAATCATCAGACAGGCCAGTGTGTCCCGGTTGGGAGGAGGCAGCTCACTGATGGCCTGATACATCAGGGCTAGACCATTTCCATCATCTTGTATTTCTGCAGAGAAACATCCAAACCATAAACCATTTCCATCAACCGTCGAAACAGACGCAGCGACCTCAGAAACTCACCGGCTGCTTCCATGAAGACCTTGTTGAGGCGGAAGGTGAGAAGCGGCTCGGGCAGATTTCTGAGGAAATCTTTGAGGACGCCTGTGATGACATTGATGTCCTCCACTTTGTTAAGGGGAGGCACAGTCTTGCCCCGGATGAGTTTCTCCTTCAGCTCCTTTACCAGGCGCTCATGGCCAGAGATTCTATAAAGCCCAACCTGCCGTAACAACATTGTACATCAGCTGGTTTGTATTTGACCTGTGATACTATAACAGCACTCTGAGGATCAACAGGAGAGGAATCATCTCAAGTCTTATTGCTAGAGGGAGAAAACTACTGTGGATCTGCAGTCTGTTCACAGTGATTTATGCCATGTTTTTCCCTCTTTTGTTGCAACGATTTTACTGAATGGATTGCATTAGAATTATTTAAAAAAAAATGGACATGGAATACTTCTTGACAAGAAAGGGTAAAAAAAAAAGAAAAAGGAGCTTAAAATGTATTGATAACTATTCACTTTTAACACCACATTCAGAGTTCAAGTTTTTCCTGTTTCCATGACTGGTTTACCACTGGAAGTGATTTCAGGTCACACGACCAGAATTATACAAGGTCTCAATTAACCGCACATATTAGAGTAGAAATTAAGCATTTAATTCAAAAGAATTGTCTCTAGATTTCAAGAAGCAAAAACAGTAAAAAGTTCATTTTGTTTCTTATTTGAATAGATAGGTTCTGTCAGCTACTTAAATGCTGACATGGTCCAGGATTTGGACATTTTCCAAACTTGTAATATGAAAAAAACCAAAGCGGAAGGGACTGATTTAAAATATTATTTTAAATATGCCTCCCTTTTCCAGAAATGTTCTTTTTATCCAGTGGGCAAAGTTAAAAAAAAGTCAAGAAAGCCACAATTTTATTTTAATTTTTCACATCCGGATAAAAAAATTTAATTACAAATGCTGATCAGAGTAGTGCCATGCCTAGTTTGAAGCATGGTGGTGGCAGCATCATGTTGTGGGGCTGCTTTTCTGTGAGAAGACGTTTGGGACTAATCTGAATAGAGAATAAGAGACAGCAGCTGAATAAAGAGGGGGTCTTCTAGAAAAGCTGCTCTGGAGCGCAGGTCAAAGCATTAAGTCATTTTCGCCCGATAAAAATATTCATTTCTGATAGGATACCGGCATTACTCAGACATACTTTTATTGCTTATTTTATAGTATTAAATTATAGAAAAGGATTGATCAATTGATTTTCTCAAGCAAAGGAACTATATATAACATTATTAGGAATGAGAGCAGCTGTCCCATTTCTTATTCCAAGGTTTATACAGGAATGATTACCGGTAACTCTAATGATTTTAATTCTCTTTTAATGCTCCAAGAAATAATTTTAATGCCATCAACAAATACCCATGACTCTCATATATATACACAGCAAATTCATTCACCTTTTCCGTCGGCAGGCTGCAATTCCTCAATTTCCAGCCACTTTTGTTGAAATTAGCATTTTCCCATTCTCTAGCCTTTTCTCCCCAGCGAGCTTCTTTTCCGAACATATATTTGCAAATATATATATTGTTTAATAAATTGTTTTTATAAACTTTGTTTTTTAATAAAGAAAATCATCGCATTTAATTAATTTTAATGCCAAATCAGGCCTTAATTTCAAAAATAATTATTTGATTATTTTTAATGATTTTTAATGACCCGCGGAAACACTGTATGTGCTTTCTAATATTGGAGATTTTAGAGCCAGGCTGATTTATTCCAATATTCACGTCTTGGTTGATATTGGAGCGATTTCATATATGAATATTGGATAGGTAGGTCCCTAATTTTCACAAACTAAAATCTGTTTATTAACAGACTGATGGAGATGAGGCTCTCCAAGATGGTAGAAAATGGCAAAAAAATAAAAAAAAAATTTCATCTTTATAAGATCTATCAAAGATTCAAATAAGCTTATTTTTTGGGGGGGCAAAATCTTTGAAGACAGATATAATTACTCAATTTCATAAGAGAAATGAAGAGTGGGGATAGAAGAATGAAAGGCTGGGAATGTTTTTCCAGATGCAATGGTGTGTGAAGAACTGAAGCGTTTTTAAAACCCGGCTGACCTCATGAAGGCCTCTGCGTTCAATCTCTTTAATGCAGTAGATAACCAAGGCCGGGATCCTCGGTGGGCTGGTTGGAGCAAAGTCAGCCAGAGTTGTCTGAACAAAAATAGCATCTTTTAATAAGCTGAAGAGACTCCAGGTTCATTTATCAAACCATCTTCAAAGAACAAATTGATTTACAAAGAGTTGGTTAAAAACTACTGGTAATCTAAGGACCTGATAAAATCTCTCACATTAAAGTAAACAACTGAAATAAATGTCATAATGTTTTAGGCTTTAAGCTTATTGAGAAGATTCAGCTGACTACACCTGTCATGAGAAGCAAGCATGAATTTATCAATCAGTTGGAAACAAACCTCAGTTCCCTTGTTGGGAGTTTCTAGAGCTGAGGGATTACAGGGCAGGGGGCAATTATCCCGACACTCTGGATGGGTCACAATCCTGCAGTCCTGGCAGCGAAGACAAAGTTTGCCGAACTTGGTTCTTCTTCCACAAGGTGCACAAAACTCAGACTTGATCACCTGGTTGATGAAGAAGGCACCTTAATTAAAGGAAAATACTTTGTTCGATTAAATAAAAACAATTAATAAGTTGATAGTCCAACCGTTTTGGGAATGAAGTGGTGCTTCTTCCCTCCTTTGGTTCGAGGAGTCTTGAGTTCTGGGATTTCAGAGGCCGGCATGCTGGGCGCTTCACTGGCTGTCTCAGAGTGGTCGTAGGTGGTCGTGTCAGCCAAAGCTAAAGTCAAACATTTTTTGATCAAATAAAAACTGTTGCTTCAATTAAAAAAGTCGTCTAAAACTCATAAAATAACTGAAATAAAAACAAGTGTTCTCACCACTTCTCCTCCTGCTGCGGGTCCAGTAAGGCACCGTTTCAATGGTGGAGACGGCCTCAACAACGCCACCACTAGTTGGGACGGTGATGGTCGTCTTGGCCACGATAGACTCGTTATTCTGCATCAGATTAAAGAAGAAGTTTCGGTGAACTTAATCTGAACTTACTCCAGAGCACTTTAAACTTCTAGAAAACAAAAAGAGGGCATTTTCTAAAATGTGGAGCAGTTAGCTGCAGAGGGCAGCATTACCCTCTCTGATGTGCGCCCTGTGGAGCGGGGCTTCTTCACTGCATCAAGAGGACCATCGGTCATCTTTCTGGATGAACGCTGAAGGATATAAGTAAACAAAACAGAGGGTGTAGAATGAATCAGGAACTACTTTTATTTCTAGCATTTTTTATTGTCATTACACTATCACAAGTACAGAGCAACGAAATTGACTCTGCATTTAACCCACCCCCTTGGGGAGCAATGCAGCGCCCACACGCCCTGCGTTAAGGGTGTTGGTCAGGGACCCAGAGTGTCAGTCCGTGGGAGTGCTCATTCACCCCAGCTGGGATATGAACCCAGGCTTCCTGTTTGCAGGACGGGTGACTTAACACTTGAGCTTTCTTTCTTTCTTCCTTTATCGAATTAAAATACCTAAACTATTAATCTTCCATACAAGCAAAGAGGCTTAAGTTCAACACGTGACTATTGACGTGACTCACTCGTTTCTGCCGTCTGCGGAGTCTGACATTCCTCATCACAGAAGAATCCCAGTCCTAAAAAAAAAAAAAAACACAGAAATGTTGGGCCATTTTGTTCACGAGGTCCTAAAATACGGCCACCTTTTGACACAAAGACCGCGTACCAGAGAGTCATCCGTTTGGTCGTAGCTGATATCTGACAGCAGAGACGTTGATTCTTCAATTTTAGTTAATCTATAAAACAAATCAGTGAAAAAAAACAGCCTTGGTTGGTCAGTAAAGAGAAAGGCAACATTATGTTTTAGATGATAACTATTTGTTCAGATTACAGCTGATATACATGGCTGTGATGCAAAATACCATGTTTATATTTCCATGTTCTTATTGTCTCTCTGAGACAGTTTATAGAGCGAAGCTTAATTTTTTATAATAATTAAAAAAAATAAGAGTGGTGAATATTTGTTTCTTTGCAAAGCTATAAAGACTTGAATCTGTAAATAAACAAATGTTTGCAGAAAATATTGAAAGCAGGGGGACCAGATTGAAATGCACACCACAACTTTCAGATTTGTAGTTACAAGAAATTTTTGTTTCTGTTTCATTGGCCTGAAACAAGTGAATAATTTGGATTGGCTCTTTAGTTGCACTGTTTTACATGTGATGCCTTTACTGTTTATCTGTAGTTTTTTTTTCATTGCACCTCTCAGCCAGGAAAAAAAAGCAATATCGGATGGCTTAAACATTTCTCATCGTTCAATTTTAGCTTTCACATTTAGCCATTTAATTTGGGTCACTTGTCTGATGGTGTAGAGCAGGAAAAGATGGGATGAACCGTATTTAGACGGGTTGTTTGAGGCTGACCTTCGGCTTGAGTTGAGGTTGGTTTTAGCACCTTGTGCTGCCTGCGAATGGGCGCTGAGAAAAGCCAAGGCTGACCGTTGCTCCTCACTTAAGTGAACACTGCTGCCGTTCTCTGAGATCAGCAGCTCCCGGATCAGCTGCAGCTGCCGCTCCTTTTATTAAAAAAACAGAGTAGAAGGGCAAGAAGGGTCAAGCTCATGCTGAAAAATCCAAGCAAGAAAAATAAATAAAAGACTTGACACCAACTAGTTTCTCATAGATGGCCTCGGCCTTCTGCCGTCGACGGATCTCCACGTCCACCTGGTTCCGTGCGTGTTTTAGTTTGACCTCCAGAGCTCCCCTCTCCGTTTCTACTTTGGCCAACATTTCTTTGCAGGAAACCAACTCATCACCTGCCAACAGCCACTTCTTCCGACAGTCCTCAAAGTTTATTGCCATCTTGAGGAACTCTGCAGTAAAGAGAGAGGGACAACTGATTTTTATATATTGCTGTTGCACAACGCATTACAATGAGCTGCATTAAGTCCATTTTACTACTGAACATGCGCCACATCAAAATAAGAAAGGACCATAGTGATGGAAATCTTTTTTAGCCTTCAGATTTCCTTCAGTTGAGCTCTGCAGTCTATGCTTTTACTATTTCTGGCCTTGATATGGAGTTTAGCTACAGTTAACTTTAAATAATTTAACTGTGTTGAATGCAATACTATCACTTATAGTAGAACTGGATTGAATGATTTAAAATAAGTTCTCAAGGACAGTCAGAAAGTGGCGTAGAAGAAAATCTAAAAAAATAAATCCTGAACATGTCAAAGGAAATCATAAAGCATACCTACGATATAGAAAAATACTAATGCGAGTATAAAACCTTCAGCTATTTACTCTTTGAATGTTTTTTTTTTAAGTGAACCAGACAGCTATGAGAGAAGGTCAGTTCACTACTGGAAGGCTCCGCCCAATTTAACAGTTTGTTCACAGAAATAACACATTTAGACTGTTTGAGCAGAGAGAATGAGAAACTGAATGTTAGATTGATATGGTTGTACCTGATCATGGCAGGAATAATATTCTAAGCCTGGATGCAGCATTCTGTCTAATGTTGTCTAACCAAAGGAGGATTTTCCTATAAGCTACACTTAATAAACACTTTTTTGAAGTTCAATACACTGCTTAACATATTCAACTTTCCAAATGTCTCTTAAATGAACCTAGACTGTGAAACAGATTAGACTGGAATCAAAATTATAACCAAGTTAGAAACTTTCACATGAAAATAGTATTTGATATTGTGAAAAGAAAATGTATAAAATTAAAATAATCATAGTATTAATCTCTTAGTGAAATGACAAAGGTTTACAAAACCATCACAGAAATAATCAGATTATAGAACAATACTCATATCCTGTGCATAGGAGGAATGTCAGTCCTATTAAAAATTTTGAATTGATAAAGCTTCCTGGATGTAAAGCGAAACGTCTATAAAATTGGAAACAAAATCTAGTGGATTTTTTAAAAACTTTTTTGGAATCATGTTGCAAAAAATACGGACAAAAGATTGTTGACAAAAATAGACAGTCTGAGATGCTAAACAAAATATCTGTAGTAATCTTCTACAACCCAGGAATTCAGTTCCACAACTAGATAGATCTTTTTATATTCAATGGTGTATGTTGTTACTAGGGATGTTTATATTACCCAAAAACATACTTACAATGAAGACAAAAATCAGGCCTCTATAAACTACTTATATTCAAATATAAAAATATCATACAAACAGCAACTATAAAAAGGTCCAATGTGAGGGTATGAGATATTTCACCAGGGTAAAACTTTAAATATTGACCCTGAAAAATCTGTAAGCAAACAAAGGAGGGACTGCAGGTAAATGGATGGCTGGATTGGAAGATGAAGTGTTAGAAAGATATTTGTGCATTTTTTCTTCTTCACTTTTTTCAGTACATGAGTCGGTTGAATATTTTCCAAAATCGAAAACAACTATCACTATATAAGGAAAAGAGTAAAACAGATGAGAGGATAACTTACGTGGTTCAGTGCTGTCGTTCAGAGCTTCCAGTTGAGCTTGGAGACTCTGAAACTGGTTGTACAGGTTCCCAACAGACACCTCCATGCTGTCCCACTACGATAGATAACAAAAAGATATAAATTAGTCAGCTAACTATTTTGCTGGTGACATATGGCATTGCTTTTAATTAAAAGCTGACTTCTATTTGAATGGAAAGCACAATGTCAGCTGTTAGTTCACGTCGTAAACAGCTATTTTCCTGAAATAAGACACGAGGTTAAAGTTTGTTAGTAGCTCGCGTTAGCCACAAGCTAACAGTTTATCCCGACATTATCGATAATGCACGCTAAACACCATAAAACGGTTACCTGTCAGATGAACACTTTGTGATTGTAACCAGGTCAATATATAGAATAATAGCGTCAAGACAGCGGAGGTCTAGTTTTGTTTGCTAGCACTGGAGGACCCATACAGCCACGCCTGCCTGCATTCCTTCAGTTCAAAATCAGCGCCGGATTTCTTCTTCGATGGACAAAAAGGAGAAAGCTCTGCTGCCCCCATACGGCCAGGCCTGCAACTGCACGGTGGAGGGCAAACGGGAAAAAACGAAAAAACTATGCAAGAGAATAACTATTCTTCTCTGTCAAGGGGTAGTTGGGGACTTTTTTTTTTGTTAGTTTTATTTCCCTTAAAAGTTATATCCACATTTTTATTTTATCAGCACATCAGATGTGAAAACTACGGAAGAGGAAAAAAAAAAAAGTGTACTGGTTTTTTAAATTTTATTTCAGTATGAGAAAAAAGTCAGAATTCTGACTTTAATCTCAGAATTCTGACTTTTTTCTCAGAATTCTGACTTTAATCTCAGAATTTTGGATCGTAATGTATATGGGCACCATGAAGGAAGAGATGAGGAACACCCAGCTTCACTGACAAAGATGTGAGTTGGAAAATGACTGAATTAGGCAACTTTTTACGTGATGCTATTTAAGACAAAGACGCTATTTGATTAATGGAAGGGCAGAAGGTGATTAAAACAAGCTAGAGCTAGTTTAGTCTTTAAAACAGACATGGCAACGGTTTGATGCTAATATGTTTGTTATGTCAGAATTCAGTCAGAATTCTGAGATTAAAGTCAGATTTTCCAGATAAAAGTCAGAATTCTGGGAAAAAAGTCAGAATTCTGAGAATAAAGTCAGAATCCTAATAAAAAAATCAGAATTCTTAGATTAAAGTCAGAATTCTGAGAATAAAGTCAGAATTGTGAGAATAAAGTCAGAACTCTGAAATTAAAGTCAGAATTCTGAGAATAAAGTCAGGATTATGAGATTAAAGTCAGAATTTTTAGAATGAAGTCAGAATTATGAGATTAAAGTCAGAATTATTAGAATGAAGTCAGAATTACGAGATTAAAGTCTGAATTCTGGAAAAAAGAAGTCAGAATTCTGACTTTTTTCTCATATTATACTGAAATAGAATTTAAAAATCAGTTAACTTTTTTTTCCAGTGGCCTTAATCCTCTTCCATAGGAAACACATCTTTGTTTTTGATAAATCCAAAAAACATATTTAAAAGGTACACTTTACATACAAGAGAAAACCTTGTTTATCTGTTTATGTCTGTATGTTAGTATGTTTCAATGTAAGCTAAATTGTAGGAAATATAACTATGCATGAAATCCTTTGAAACACTTACTTAGCAATTTTAAGCTGGTGTCTTTGTATTGGTTCTCGGGATGCACATGACAGCATTATTTCTCAGCTGTTGTTGGCATATCTGGGCAAGGTAACCGCTCTGCCGTGCAGCATTTAATGGGAATAACACTTTTACTCACATAGAGGGAACTGATTCTCCAGAATTACCTATAATAGCCCAGTAAATCATTTTAACAACATGTCAACAGTCTACAGCCTTTTTCTACATACCTGTTTGATTTTCCTTGTAATGCACAAGTCATCCTGTTTAGGATCATACTGCCCCCTCAAGTGCTGCATGCATGTCTGCTGAGCACTGCAAGTCCATTATTGTTGATTTGAGATAATAGGATCTGTCAGTCAATACAGCCTTTCTGTTTGTATCAATAATTCATGTCTACAGGTACATTTCCTGCAGTCAAGGATAATTTAACTCTTAACACTCTGTTTTACACAAGCAACAATGCGGTCCTTCAAAACTAAGAGCAACATTTGTGGTAATTATATGTGTGGACTGCAAAATATTTACAGCCCTCAAACTTTTTCTACATTTTGTTGCATTACAGCCACAAAGTGCATGTTTATTAAATGTAAAGGACAGAGACCAACATAAACTAGAACATAGGTGTGAAAATGATTATTTTTTTAAGCATTTCCACAAAATAAATATTGAAATGTGTGACAAGAGTATTGCAACCGTTATTCTGATACCCCTGAAAAAAATTCTGGAACAACAAATTACCTTTAAATGTAACCAGATTTCTGAACAAAGTCAATATACTGTATGTAATATAATCTGGCATCTCCTGTGAAGCCTCAATAAAGTATAGTATGACGGTACACTTATCAAAAATGTAGAGAAACAGAAAAAGGAGAGCAATTATGAAATACGCAGTCAGAAGGCCAATGATAACTCAGAGGACCTGCAGAGATCTACAGCTCAGGTCATTCGGTCCAAAACGCAACAGTTAGTTGTATACTTGAGTCAGCTTTCTGTGCCACATTACTGAGACTGGCCTGATTAAGGTATTCAACGACATTTGAATAAGTTCAGACTGGAACAACCACAGTGCTGGTATTATTGCACCTCAGGGCAGTGCCCCTCCTGTTCATACATACATGTATCTATGTTTCTTATATAACTTTGCTGCCTCTTGGCCAGGACTCACTTGAAAAAGGGGTTTTTAATCTCAATGGGATTATTTCCTTGTTAAATAAAGGTCAAATAAATAAAATAAATCTACATGCTCCCCTTAACTCAGATTGTAGCAAATAACAAGATCAGTTACCATAACTATGCAGACGACACACAGCTTTACATCACAACCTCAGCAGGTGGCTGTGAACCTATCAGAGCATTGGCTGGATTCTTAGAACAGATCATGTGGACTCACCTTAATTTTCTACAACTGAATAAAAAAAAAAAAACTGAGGTAATAATCTTCGGACCAAAGGAGTAGAGCTCCAGATTGAGCTCACAGTTTCAGCTACTGCAGCTAGAGACCACTAATTATGGTCACAATCTGGGTGTCATGGACTCAGACCTGAACCTTCAGAGGCTCATAAAGGCAGTTATTATCCTCTTATTAACCTTTTATCACCTGAACAACATTGGCAGGATTAATGGACTAATGTCCAAGCAGGAGCTAGAAAACTCCTTCATGTATTTATCTTCAGTAGAATTGATCACTGCAACAGTGTCTTCATAGGTTTGCCTAAACATTCCATCAGACAGCTGCATCTGATCTAAAACACTGCTGCCCCTGTTCTCACTAGAACTAAGAAAGTAGAGCACATCAGCCCGATTCTGAAGTCCTTCTGCTGGCTCCCTGTAGCTCAGAGAATAGACTTTAAAATCCTTCTGTTAGTCTATAAACCACTGAATGGATCATCACCTCAATACATAACAGATTTGTTGTCAGAGTATCAGCCTCCCAGACCACTCAGGTTTTCTAGTTTAACATGGAGAATCAGCATTTAGTTTCTATGCTCCACTTTTCTGGAACAAAATCCCAGAAGACTGGAAAAGAGCTGAAAGCCCGAGTTCTTTGAAGTTAAAGTTAAAAACCACATTTTTTCATAACTGCCTTTGACTGTTGAAGTTAAACTGCCAACTGAGGTATTATTAAAGGCTGTTGTCCAGCTGTTTGATTTGTTTTACTGTCTGCTTTTATCATGTTTTTTTTTCTTTTCTTTTATTGTTTAATTCACAGAAAGTACTTTGAATTGTCCTTGTACTGAATTGTGCTATATGAATAAACTTGCCTTTCCTTTTACAATTACTGCTTTTACTCAAAGCCATTGTTGAAAAAATCAAAAAGAGGGCGAAGTTTGCTGTGTCAACCACAAGTCACATGGGGGACACAGAAAACGTGTGGATGAAGGTGAGCTATTTGACCGGTAGGAAATTATGGTAATATGTGAAAACGAACACCTCACCCTTAATCACGGCATCTTCTTAATCACACATGGGGGTTACAGTTTAATGCTTTGGGATTTTTCTCAGTAGCCACATTGATGTTGTGTCAGCGAGGATATAATCTACTTCCCAATTGTGGGCTAATTCAGTTGTTCTATTACAAACTCCCAATAAAATAGGTAAAAACGTTGTGGTAAAATGTGACAAAATTATTACATTTGCAATACAGGCCCTGCAAAATAGAAGTTGATCTATAATTTTTTTATACAGACAGTTAACCAATCCACATGCCTACTCAAATATGAAGAACTGTAAACCTCCTTTTCTCCAAAGATGTAATTTTACATCTTGTAATCAACTTGCTTTTGTAAAAAAGAGGATGTATGCAAAAAAGAAAAAAAAAAAAAACATTTGTAGATTTCCTTTGAGCGTAAAACATACCAGGGTCCACTAATGTATGGAGTAGAAGCACCTGCAGATTTTGCTGACTCTGGGGTCTGCCCTTCCCAGTGGAACCATTGGAGGGGTAATGGATCTACAAACAGCCTCATGGGTAACACTGCAGAGCTACTAAGGAGTGTGCATTGGAGTAGAACACGCCCTCCTAACATTTTTGTGAACACAAGGCGAAGCAAAATCTTTAGGACACAAGAAACAATCAATACATCTCTTATTTTAATTACAGGTTCTGTGTGTTATCAGAAAAAAACAGAAATGTGAATTATTCTAAATATGAAATTTTGTGGAAAGGTTCAGACGACTTGACAAAAGAAAGTAATTAGTTCTTAATAAATATTTATTTAATATATTTAAAATATATTTAATGTATACCTACAAAATGTTTTCTAATCTATCTTTGAAAAACATACTGTATTTCTGTAACTTAAAATAAAGTGTAGAAAGATGCAGTGAAATCCAGTTGGCATATTTTGATGATGCTGAATGTAAGCAAGCTCATAAAGACTCAGAATTACAGTTTAAATTATTCATCTTGTGAACCTAATCACCATAAAACACACACAATAAACAAAGGAAGCATTTACAAAATAAGTAATTTAATTAAATTCAAGAACCACCTAAATAAATATTAGGCTTTTCAAGTACCACCATGATGACTGAGATTCTATAACATTGCAACAGATTTAAACCTTGCCACATAAGGTCTTGTAAAAACCAGCATTGGCTTTACATGGTGAATTGTGATTTGTTTCTTTTTTATTTTTTAAAGTTGAACTTTCAGAGTTTGCAGCTGAATAAAGCTGAACGGGTTTGAGCTTCTGATCAACCCTAACCTCAGCATCCACCGTTGCTTCCTTTGATATAAAACTTTCAAAGCCAAAAAATGTCAGTAAATATGTTTTTCAAAATAGAGCGTGGCTAAGCTTGTTAAAAGTAGTTTACAGGGTCAAATTTTGATTTCAGAGGTAACTGGTTTTTGGTGCCCTCTACACCACTTCCATTTGCCAGAGGAGCTCCCATTTTTTTCTGAATTGCACTTCTATTTGAAGTAGTTTTCGATTGAGAAAACATCAGTGTGCCTAACTCACATGTCAACATTACTGTTACTGCATATTGGTATTGCAAAAAACACATCTCTTTTGAGTGCCACTAAAAGCAGCCTAAGTACCACTGATGGTACTTGAACTCACACTTAAGAGCCCTTATTCCAGAGCTACATAGGATGCATGCCTGGTGTGCAACTGTTTACTCATTTGCCACTCTGTTAGGTGTGGCTTCATATTACCAGGTTGGACTAATTAGTTTCTTTCAGAAGTCTCACAGTTCTTCTTGACATGTTCATCACTGTTTAAGGGACCATTCCCATGAGGTTGTGCCACAGCAGTTACAAATTCATCAGCTATACATTCATAAAGTAAATCCACATCCAAAAAGTGTCATTTTTGTGTGTGACTTTGCAGACTTTTTGATCGTTTAACTCATTGTCTTGTTAAAGAAACCGAGTCGAAAGGATTTTTAGCTCGATGAGATGGTAAATTATCCACAAAGAGCCTCACAAAGAACATATACTCTTGTCATAAAGCAATGGACATCAGCAGCAAAACATCTATTAGGCTGTGGGTCTTAAACAATATGGGGCTCAGATTAGGGCATGAAATAATCTTTTTTCATGGGTAAACATTTTCTTTCTCTGTAATAGATGTGAGCCAACAGGTGAATGAAAAATCTAATGGTGCTGAGTGGCTCTGCAGGTATGTAAGGAAACTCTGGCAAAGTGAGTCCTGTCAACAGATAATGTACACATTTGTGCACTTCATTCTTCCCATCAACTGAGTTGTAAGTGAAATCTCCCACTCAGAGAGAGTTTCCTGGAAGAGGCATCCTCTTTCCTTGCTCCACATCCAAACCATCACCAACAACAACTCTAGACTGTTGAAACCTTATCCCTTGTAAACACCCTGCACCCCAGATAAGTGGATTAAACATATTACATTTCCTGTTAGGAAAAATGTGAGAGAACTCCATAAAAATATTAATTTTATTGATTCCTGTTTGTTCGAACAGTGACATAGATTCAAGGAACTTCAAGTACATTCCGACTAAAAGAAAACACCCCTTGTTCACACCATCCAATACTAGGAATAACAGAATCTCTCACCTATTGATAAAACTCTTATATGTCTCTTATCTTACATAAAGGTGAAATAAGTCCCGGGTTGTTCTCAAAGGAACAGCAAGTACAAGTCAGGCAGTGCTCAGTGCTGAAGAAAGTAGGTAGAAACCGATGCTTGTCAGTTGGCTCAGTGTTGTTGTTATGTTCATCCAGAACTAGTCTGATACCTAATATTTTCTGAAAACATACATAATCAAATTAATCCCAGAAAATGGCTGAAAAATGGGATGTTAAAGGATTATCAGAGATTTTTTTTTCTGACATAATAAACCCTTGTGCATCATGCAAAGAAATACAAGTATAGATTTTTAAAGTTCAAATGTAAGAGTCTCTCAGTTGATAATCTTCATAAGGATGCCGTGCAAGTTTCCAAGTACATGACATGGCTGCTGAAAGATTAAAAGTGATTAAAGGAGGGGGAAAAATAGGCAGCAGCATAGATTTTCTTTGAAGGTGTTCATGTGCCCATAGTGCAAATGGGAATGACAATGATGAGGATGATGGTCACAACAGTTGCGATGAGGGCAACCAGCTTGCAGATCTTAAGGCGGCGGAGGTTAGCCTCTTTGCGCCTCAGGAGGGCGTCGTAGCCTGGAGTGTAGATGTCATCCACCCAGAACTCCAGATTGTTTGGATTCAGAGACTCCTGACCCTGAGAAAAGAAGCACAGTGTGTTGTATCTGTTGACAAAATGATAATAATAATAAATGGCTGTAACTCCTTTAGCCCTTTTAGAGTCAGCATTTTCTACCTGTAAGTCCAAAGGGGAGATTCGTGCTTCTCTGTCATCTACGGTCCATATGGGTCTCCCTCTTCCTTCGGCCAGTCTGGCATCAATGACCTTCCCGGAGCCAAGCCCCCTTGTTAGGCTGCTATCTTTGTGACGGAACAGTGAAGAGTTAAACACTTGTTCCACCATGCTGGTTGGCTTTTGGGAAAGGAGGTTAGTAGTGCTGTCTGACTGATCTCCCTGAAATAAAAACACATCAAATTTTAAATTTTTATCATATTTTCAATTAAAACTGTCCCACATCCACATAATAAAGCCTGTATACTATCCAGGACACAAATACAGGCATGGGTGCACAACACTAATTTACACATCATGCAAAAACAGTACTTTTGACTTCAAATTAGTTCTAGTCCATTGTATTTCATTTCATCCGGAAACATAGAATGCATTATTATGTACCATTTAAACAATAAAACAAAAAATCTGTAAGACACCCTTATACCTGTCCAATTTTCCTCTGGGAACCTTTGCCATCTTTACTTTTGGAAAATGACACTGGCCAGTCTCTTGCAGAGTTAGGGATGTTCAGCTGTTTGGTATCAGAAAGACCTTTTTCTTCAAGTTGGGTTTTTGAGGTGCGGCGAGATGATGCATCCTTCTTCCCCTCTTTATGACCTTTGGAATCTGTTTGACCTTTACTGCTTTCCGTTTGATCCCCTGTGGTCATCAGTCGGCTCCAGTCCGGGCTACTCGTACTGGTCCCTGGAAATAGTTGCCCAGTTGCAGAAAGAGGCTGAGGTTCTGATGACTCAGAGGGAGTCATAGGGTGGCTCATAAAAGAGGAGACACCACTGAGAGGCTCAAGCCATGTACCACCAGTGGTTTGACCACCACCAACAATAGGCTGCTGGATCTTTTCATCCAATCGCTGCAAAGCAGACAGAACCTGGGAAATCTCCGCCTTTACGTCATTCAGTGACTCTAGCTGTCTTTCTATCTGACTCATACGAAGCAACAGTTTGCAGACACTTGCTTTTAGCCCATCATCACTGCTTTCCAGGGAATGGAAAAGTCTTTGGAGTTGACCAAGACGACCACGTCGAGCCTCAGGGGTGTCCTGGTTAGCACTGCCATCACTGGGGTGCAGTACTCCCGTGGAGCCACACATGCTAATGTCATCTAAGAATCGAAAGATCGCACTGATGTCATCCTCACCAAACTCAGGGTCGTCTAGCGAAGTCATGAAGGAGAGCCGATCAGCATGAACCAGGCTCCGGAGTCTCCGAGGATCTGGTGGGTCAGTCTGTGTTCCCTGAGCCTTCAGTTTATCGCCTCCAATTTGCACTCCACTGTCTATATTCTCACATCCTGAGGATCCACTTATAACAGGAGTAGATCGCCTTGGAAGGTGTGCCGCCTGGGGTTCCATCCCTAAGTCAATGCTGCCAGCACCTATCTGATCCTCTAGACTGTGGCTTTTATTACTCCAGATGGCCCGCTGTGTCCTAGGTGGTCGAAGGTGCCGGGGAGAAGGATCCGGCATTGAGCCTGGTCCAAAGTAAGTTGAATCCTGCAGATCATCAAAGCTCTCATGTTTAGCTTTAGCCCGCTTTTCTGGTGACACATGAGATGCTGTAGGCGACGGGTACGGATTTGGGATTGATTCAAAGTTGAGATTGTCAAAGCCTGCACGCCCTGCTTTGGGACTGGGAGACTCACTGTTGACAGTCACCTGTGGTATTAGAGGAGGCTGGTTGTGAAAGTCTTTCCTGAAAGTGCTTCTCTTCTGGTCAGCCAATGATTCCTGTTCAGCTTCAAAAACTTCCATTGCAGCAGATTCTCCACTCGACTCACTGTCTGTTTCCAGAGGCAGGTAAATATTCTTCATTACCTCATTGAGACTTGGACTGCTGGAGTATGAGTATGTAGTGTGAGGCAGGTCAAAAGAAACAGCCCTTGTCCGGACGGGTGGGGAGGACACAAATGAAATGGGATCCGGGGGAAGACTTCCGCGCTTGCGAGCAGAGTAATTCGATTTTGGAAAAAGCAAGTGCTGGTCGATAGGCCTCCCACTGGAGTCAGAGTGGACACGTGCTCTTTCTCGACCAGGAGTGTTCAGGGGATGTAAACCAGGCAGGCTGGGGCCAGGGGACTGGTCGACAGGGATTATTCTCTGGCCTCTCATTGGATGGTTGGTTTCAGAGACCCCACCAGTCATCTGAATTAGATTGAAGATGGTCACGATGTCTGCAGCGACACCTATTGGGGAGAGTGCCTGGCCTCTGGTGGAAACCCGGTCTCGGAACAAAGTGGCGGGGAAACAGGGGTCACTGCTGGCAGCAGCAAATAACAAAGCCCTCAGCTCAATTAGGTGGTCGAGATCAAAGCGCGTGCTGACCATGCGACAAAGGTCCTGGAACGTCAGCCACTGGCGCATATTCGCCAGCTCCTCCAGGATGCCCAGGAGGACTCTGGGATAATCCTGCTGCAGGTCCGCCATTGCAGCTCACCTGTTGGGAATATCAAATAATGAGCTAAGTATAAACAGGTTTTATCTTAGTTATAAGAGAAAGACTTGTAAACAGTGCTGTAGTGTAATCATTAAAGTTTTCTTTTATTAAACCAAATGATAGCCATTGATAACCTGTGCAATTTAGCAGGTCCTACTGCCACATAAATTAATTGGCAATATTACAATTGCAGGTTACCCAAATCCTTTAATCAACAGAAAATGTTGATTTAATATTCTTAATCTACATGTTTCTTTGGGATATAACAGATCAACTTGGATGGATTACTGCAACCTTCTTGGCATATTTGCCAGAAATAAAAGCTTATATGAGATGGGAGTGAGAAGCAATTCAGGACTCTGAAGCGACCTTATTTTGTGGTCCTAAAATAACCGGTCATCTGATCTAATGACGCCGTCACACTGCGCACATCCTTACCTCTGAAGACACCTTGCTTGGACTTTCTATTAAAAACCTCAATTAAAAAATGAAAATTTGCTAGTTTTCTCATAATGAAAGAAATCCAATTAGCATAAATAGCATAAACACATGACAAGCCTTTCTATCCATCATTAAAAAAATCTATATCGACACCTTTTTTCTTTGAGGACTCTTCTGTAAATTCAGTGTGTTGCAAAGATACAGTAACCCTAGCTCCTTTTACCTGCATCTATTTTTACTCACCTGGATCTACTAGGAAAGATTTAAAGCTGCTCTTGAATCCATCAACAAAATCCACATTAACGTGTCTGAATATTCCAAGAAGCTGTGGCTGGGTCGGCTCATCGTCCCCTCACGGTCCTTTCTCAGGCTTTCTCCGTTTGTAAAAGCGATGAGCCCAGAGCCCAGGCAGGGGAGGAGAAAATTAGAAATCAGGTCATCTTCCTACAAGTCCCTGCAGGCCCCTGAGGGACCTCAAAATACATCCAAGCGGTTTCCCCTCATCACATATCAGCAGTGACAATACTTGCAAACTCGATAACACGAGCACACATCTAACAGGAGACGCACAGACAAACTTGGCAGGTCGACCCCCGACACGTGTGAGTGGATCTGAATCATATTTTCTCCAGTTGCCATAACAAAAGCTAGTTATGGGTGCTAGCTTAGCAATTCAATTAAAGGTTCAAATTAAAAATTTATGTTTGTTAATTGACACACATAAAACCCCAGCGCTGACAGGAAAAGCAAAGGTCTGGGCTAAAATTTCCTGTTAGATTGCTGCACACAGAGATGACTGCCAGACTCCCAGACTTTTCACCATTACTCTGCATTATCGTCTATAAGGGCTTGTACTTAAACCCCATTAGAGCAAGAAAAAGGGCGAGGCTTTCATTGTTGAGTAGCAGCACTCTGCTACAATAGGGAAAGACATCTCTTGATCTAACAACTTGCTGAGGAGGAGTGCAGGGCATCCATCATCTCAATGCACTCAAGAATCAATGCAGTGAATGAGCCACAGTGTGGGTGTGAGCATAGCCAGCAATGCATTACTGTCAAACCTGCTGTGTTGTAGTTTCAAGTTGAGAAGAAAGAACCGAACTTGACAAGATCAGTTGCTTTATCATATTTGACTTTAATCGTTTCTTGGTAGGGAAAAAAAGTGTAAAATAACAATTTAGTCCAGTTTTACATAAAAAATAAATACTCTGATTATTGTGTATAGATTTCAGCTTAGATTATCTCCCTCCTTTCTTCTTTGAATTTGATTTGACCGTAGGAGTGGCAAACAGTGGAGTTAGAGATGGATTCAAAGCTGGATCTAATGCTGGGTTCAGGGCCAGGAGGTCCAGAATAGTGGCGCTTTGTTCCCCTGTTAAAAAATGAAAACATTTTCAAAAGGACAGAAAATACTGAGAGGTTCATCGTTTGATATCTGAACTTCAGGTGTTTAAATATTACTAGACAAAAACAGATTCAAACCATAAAAAAAAATATGTCAATCAGGAATTAGAATCATTTTCTATAAAAATTTATGTTTGTTTACTAAATATTTGCAGCTCTGGAAAATATGTGTACAAAAATGTCCAAATAACATTGCTCTGAAGACATGATGGTTTCTAGCTTTAGTAATTGATCCAGTGTGTTTAGTTCTTGTTTCACATTTCTTTTATTTATCTTTCTATATCTAAGGGTAAGCACAACTCAAGTGATTTAGTTGATTATATAGGACAACAAACTTCTGCAATATTCAAGGGGAATGTTAAACTGCCTTTACTATTTCAAGGAGTGTTTAAGAAAAAGCTAAACCATTATCAAGTGTTCTAATGATTGGGAACTACGGAATGATCAATAAAATTGATCTCTATTATTCTGACATTGGTCTAACTGATGTATATCCTTAAGATATTTTGGAGGGATACTGCTTCTCGTTCCTCCATTTTGATGATAAAAATGATAGAAGGAGAAAAAATATCACACCAACCTCAATTTAAAAATCAGACCAATGGGAGGAAAATTTTACCTGGAACTTACCTCACTCTTGGACTGTTTTAATTTTCTGCAAGATATTAAAACCTTATTTTTTAACAATTAATAATTGCTATGTTAAAAAATGGTTTTGAACAGTCGATTACAAAAAAAAAAAAAAAAAAAAAGAATTGACCCTTTATTCTCTTTATTTATTAAGGGTGTGAACAAGCCTCAAATAGTGACTCAAAGTTTACCTCCATTTTCATAAATATTGTTTATGTTGCTTTAAAAAAAAAGCTTTCTCAGTTTGTTTCTAAGTAGCTAAGTGTCAGAATGGCCTTAAATTCCCACATCCCTAGGCAGGGTCTACTTACCTGCATTGTCTTCTTCACTGCTGGAGTTCAGGTCTGCATTATGGACAGAAATGCGAGCCATAGCTGCCAGCTCACCTATAAAGCTCTCTTCTGCCTCCTATTGGATTCAGAGACACATTGATCTCAGTAAAGATAGGTGCAGCACGAAAAGATTCAGTCGCCTGCCTACAAACGCTGATGTGCAGCAGAACACCCACCACTAACTGGGCTTTAACCCTCTCCATGGTTTGGTCTTGGGCCACTTTTTTCCTCCTCAGCTCCTCATACACCATCTCCTGATCCAGATCACTCTGCTCCAGCAGCTTTTGTTTATTCAGTACAACCCTACCACATATCATAAAAAAAGACACAAATGATGAACTATTCCTATTTAGTCAACCTAGTCTGCTTAAAATGGCAGCTGCAGTGAACTTTTTCACAGTGCTTCCAAAATATTCAATGATTTTCAATGGATGCCTATAATTCCAATGAACTTGAATGTATTTCAGAGGTGATTCCATGTTAAGATTTAGCTCGATTGCATAGCATTTGAATGAAATCTAAATTAATGATCAGTTTAATAGGATCACAGAGGAACTCCTCTGTAGGATTCTGTACCTTTCTTGAAGCTCAGTGGAGGCGGGTCTCTTGCCCCAGTTCATCAGTTCTCTCAGCAAAGCTCTGCTCAGTTGGCTGCTGGCATCTTGCCTTTGATTTCTTTCTAAAAATGGTTGTAAAATCAATTGGTCACTCTTATCACCCTAATTAAGGCATTATAACATTATGTAGTTGGCACACAAAAGCAGAAAATCCTCTGAAATACAAAGATATCCAAACATTTAGGTCAGGAAGCATTGTGGGTTACTTAGCAAATAGTAAATATAATATTACCCTGGTTTAGGTTTAACTGATAGGGCTGTAGATTACTGGAAATGTCCCGTAGGTCAGAGTAATAGATTCGAACGATTGCACTGAGAGAATCTTTGGTTAAATAGACGCTCTCTGCTGCAGCTTCTTTTAGGTGTTGCTAGAGTAGGAAAAAAAGTAAACATGAAAACACTGAATATGTTAAGGATTTATCACTCTTCAATCAAGATTGTCAAATGAGTTCTTACTTTCAGATTAGCGTCATATTTAGGAGAGGTCAGTGACTGTTTGGGCATGACCTCCATCCTGTGACGGATAGAGTGGCTGAGGGTGTTGCCTAGCAGCAGCTGTGAATGTCTCTGAAGAATCTCCATGGCTGATTCCAGTTCTGACAAGAACTCCTGTTGGAGGTTGTTTCCCAGAAGCTGGCTTTCTGGACCCAGGTGCCTCTCTGCAAGGCTGGCCCTGCTATTCTGCATGGGGAAAATAAGGACCATCAGCAGAACGCCTCATTCCTGAAGAAGCATTTGCACAAGTAGGCAGTTCAAATGATTCACATAGAGAGGCATCAGGAAGTTAACTGGAGACAGCAGACTGAGAAATAAGAAGCCTGATCAGTGAACACAGCATGTGCTACCACACTCGGGTGAAAACACTACAGTGAAGAAGCTGTAAATGAGGAATGGAGACACAGATATTAAGGTGCAGGGGTTCGGTGAATAAGTCAACAGGGGACTTGAATATCTCGCCTGTTCAGCCAAGCCAACAATTCCCACCAACGACCCCCCCTGTCAGAGGCATGAACCAGTATCCGGCATTGCAGGCTAACAAAAAACCCAAACGACTGCCCATTTATAAGGGGCCGACCAGTTCGTCAGGTTCAATTTGCATGTTTTCTAAGCCAAAACAAGGCTTTATTTTTGGGCTACTTTATAAAGCCTCGAACATAACGCTAATTCTGACATTTTGAATTGGAAAAGCTTCCTGAATGGGAAGCGAAACGTATTCAAACTTGGAAACAAAGTCCAGCGGATTGTTTTTTTTTTACTTTTTTTGAAAGTCAATAGGAGGTAAAAAGGTAAAAGAAAGAGGCTGTTTTCTACAGAGCCATGGGAGCCTATTATTCAGGCAGGCACATATTTTATCTAGACTAGACAACAGAAAGCTGAACATAGTAAATCATAGTAAGTTTATCTATTATACAACATCCAGGATAATGCTGGAAGTCTTTTTTAAATCTTACTATATATCTACGTAAGAGTCCAACATAATTTTCCTCTTCCCCTCACGCACACATTGTTACATCATCTCTTGCACTGAAATACATAAATAATTTATTTCGAACAGAAAAGCTTCTATTGGCTCCTGTATGATTGTAATAAATCTATGAATGGATGGAAAACTTCCCAAAAGTCTCCAAATCAGAACTTTCTTAAATTCTTAACATCTTCTCTTTGTTTAAATCTATCTTGTCTACAGTGTAAAAAAAAAAAAAAAATCCCAAAAACCTAAATGTTAACTATTATTTGGTGAAGGGGGAAATCAAATATAGTGTCATGCATTTTATTTGAGTTTATATTAACAGCTCTGAAGACTTCATGTGTTTTTAATTATTTAAATCCAACATAAATAATGGATTGTTAAGAAGGCAAAACTTGTGATTTGAAGTTGGCCTCAAAATCTGCAACCATTCTCATTTTGTAGGTATGATTTAAAACAGACTGGCTTACAAAATCCAGTTAAGGCTGTAAGCTTTTATACAAACACTTAGGATTAGGATCATTTTGGTAGATTGGTTGTTGGGAGTAAATCATTAAAAAAAAGAATGTACAGTTCTTGTTTCACTTTGGGGCAGTGTTGCAACAATACCGATACCAGTATCGGACGGGGCCCCGATACTGCCCTAAAACGGTGGTATAGGTATCAACGAGTACCAACAAATAGGGCACAGATACCATTTTGAGAGCCATAAGTTTATTCAACTATTGTCACCCACTCCTGGTAGGCAATAAAAACTTTTTATTTTTATTATCCAGTAGAACTTTTTATTAAAAAGTTCTGCTGGATTCACTTTGTATTAGATTTTTTCCTGCTTCACAAAGGTAGGCAGCAGCTTGACAAAGCCATGATGGCAATTATTTACATTATTATGGTATCTGTATCGGCCGATACTGCACAGCCAGGTATCGGATATCGGTATCGGGGCCAAAAAATGGTATTGGCGCAACACTACTTTGGGGTTGGCTTTTCCCCCCACACATCTAATTCAATACATTCCTTATAATGCTTTATTCAATCAATTCATTAACAAATCAATGTTCCTACCTTGAGATTTGAATCAACACAGAGTTGTGTTTTATTGGCATCTTCCAACATCAGAGCTCTGAAATCGTTCTGAGAGAGCAGCTTAAGTTTGGACATCCTCATCTCCTTCAGCATATGTAAACTGAAGTGCCTGACCACAAAGGACCTCTGCACCAGCAGCAAGAGGTGCTCATGCTTCTTCTCTATCAGCCGCCCTATGTCACTGAGAAAAAAATCATCAACTTTATTTTCTGATGCAACAAAATTTATTTGAACCCCAATGTTTTCAAGTTTACCTGCTTAGAGTGTAGCTCTGTCTGGCTACCATAGCTCTGACGATTTTCATTTGCTGTTCAGCCAGATGTTTTAGACAGGCCTGCCTCAGAGCCATCCCATCGATCCACACCTACAACATGACAGGCTGATGTTGGAACACTGAAGGAGTTTGTTGTAATAGAAACACCAAACTAGATCTTTATTGTGTTCATCACCATCCAGA